GTGTCTTTGTTGGGCATTTCTCCACGAGCGCGCGCAAGGGTGCATTGCTAAGGGAGAGGCGAAGTTCAGGGACAGGTGCAAGACGATCTGCGACCCTCCCTTTTATCTTAGCACAAATGACCCAAGAGGCAGAATTGCAAAAGAAAAAATAAAATAAATGACGATTCCGAAGCATGGAACAACTGCCTTTATTCCGCCCTCCCTCTGACAAGTATGACTGACCACTAGATGGGTGATGTCTAAGCCAGTGTTCATGTGTACGCTTCCTTTGCCCCTTTGTTACTACGGAGGAAGATAACTAGGAATAGAATGAATACGTGGAACTTACACCCGTCCAAAAGGTCCGATGAGATCACCGACATCACGCAGCCTGACACCTGAGTGCTTAGGGTTGCCCCTAGAACCACGCGTTTCCTTCTGTCACCATTTCCAAAGAGTTTTGTTTGTGGGGGGTGTGGTAGAACGATTTTAAACGACAACTCCCCTCCTCTTGCCCCCAAAAAACAACACCCCAAACAAACAAAAAAACAGCCCCCCAAACCAAACAAGCAGACATGCACTCATTAATTCCCGAGGCAAAGCGTCCGGTTTTCTTCCTGCATGCTTATTGTTTTATAATAATCTCTTAATGAAACACAGACAAAAAAAAATTAGGATCTTTTTCTACAGGAATAATTCGATCTCGAGATAGCAGTAAAATACCTCATGGCTGGGTGGTGAGATTGTGACATTCCGGGGAACTCAAGCCAATCAGCATACAGATAATATGGGTTAATTTACATATTGCATTCCTATTGGACACAGGGAGGTAAAGCCTCCTCTGTCATGATGTCACAGTTATTACACAAAGCCCTATGTTGATAATTATGAAATGATGGTGTATTTCCCCTTTTGGTTTTGGATTTTCTAAACTTTTTTTTTAATAGAGCATAATTGTCTAAGAATACGCATAAGGCACAGAACTTTGCCATTTCATGAGACTAACAACAAAGAGGTCCACCCTTCAACAATCATGGAAGTAAGTAACTTGAGGTCATTTCCATCCAAACAGAACATTCAACTTTCTGTAAAATAAATGAATTCAAAAGAACTCAAAATTACAAAGGTTGCAATTTCTAAGTGAAATGTCATTCTTTTTTCATGGAACAACAGACAAATCAATTCAATTTGCTTTTTCTCTTTTTAACTCCCAGGTAGTGCTTCCATGTATTTTACAGAGTTATTATTTCCCAGAGTTCTACGGTTAAGAAATCTATAGAATAAGAGACTTAAATAAGCTTGCTGAAGATTCATGATTGGTTAAATCTTAAATTATATGGATTAAAGAAAAGCTATTTAAAAGTAAATTAAAACAGTGACTGCACTGTCAGGCCATGATGGAATAATTTACTCTGCCAAAAGCTCTGGGGCCAAGATCCAAGGATTTAACTAGCCTATGCTTTACGACGAAGATATCGATTCCTTAAATATACAGTGGGGTATGCATGTGTGCACGCAATCTTGTTTCATGTCTACATCTCAAAATATATTCGAGACTGTTTTCCCCCTTTGCAGCTGAAGGCAGTGACATTCACTAGTTCTTCAGTTTTTCCAGCTGTTAAATGACAGTATCATTTTCTTGCCTCACAAGGGGGCTCAAGAAACTAATGAGACATTTTCCATTTAGTTTATTAACTCTACTGGAGAAAACACTGGAGTTTGCATCTCCCCAGCAACAAAGATTTTTTAAAAATATGCTTAATAACTGCCACAAGCTTCATATCATGTACAACTGCTCACATATTAAATTATTGCCTCACCTTTCCAGATCATAACCTTATGAGAACTTAGCTAATTTCCTCTTTGATTTTACATCCAGAAACTTAGGGGGAAAAATATAGGTTAAGAATAATGGGACAATGAAAGAGCACTGTGTTAGACAGGGTTCTCTAGAGAGATAAAACCAGATTGCTAATAATTTTATAAATATATATTTAGATAGATATATAACACAAGAAATAAACAGTTGTTAAATTATAGAGCAGTTATACAGATAGATATATAACACAAGAAATAAACAGTTAAATTATAAAGCAGTACAAATGACTCAGTACATTTCAAATGTGTTAGACAGTTGTGAGCACTAGCAATCCTTCAAGTCCAATGGTGTCCCACAGATAGTGTAGCTTGCAAATTGAGGCACAGAGCAAGCAAGGCAGCCGCACACTGGTCCGATGATCAAAGAGCAAGAGACAAGACAAGACAGGCCGAGCCATTTATCTTTCCGCCCTTCAATTAATCCCACATGTGTTTATAGACCAGGCTGGCACAATAAACTAACTACCTCAATCCACCCCTTGCCAACCTGGCACCCATACACAATTCTTTAGCCATATATAATTATATAATTTCCAGACATTGATGAAATCACACTTATATTTATCATCAATCATCTATCATACATATAAATGAAAACACACTGAGTCCAATTGTATCTGATGTATCATACCTGAACAAAGGAAAGATGTGCAATAAGCACATAAAAAGAAAATACATTGACAATTACAAACCTCGCTTTTGCAATTGATCATGTGGTCGTAACTGATATGTAGAACTACCTTCTACTACTACCCATTCTGTATTACCTTTGCCCTCAGCAAGCACCTCAGCTGGCTGTGGTTTTTTGCCTGGTGGGGTGACCCAGACCTTCATTCCTGAGGGGTCTGGGTCATTATAAGTCCTGTCAGGTTGGGTTGCTGTAATTTACCATTTCCTTTAATCACAGGGCATGGTAGCACTAAGAGTCGGCCTATGGGATCTCCTGGATTCCAGACATATTCTTTATCTCCATTATGTAACACCAGTCCAATTTCTCCTTGGTAATCAGGATCAATCACACCACTTAATACAGTGACACCTTTCCTGACCTGTTGATCCAAAAGCATGAGAAGCCCAAAGTGACCAGGGAGGATTCTCAGCTGCCAGTTCAGTCCACTGAACTGTGCTGTGTTTCCAGGTGGGAGAGTTCCTTCCTTCGGGACTAGGACCTCCAGGCCTGAGGAACACAGGGTTGCTGGGACAGGAAGCAAAAATGCTGCAAGTGGATCACTAGGAGTAATAGTGAGTGGTGCCACTCCAGCTTCCACCGCTTGGTTCCTGAACCCATGAATTCTGGCTATTGGAGACATGGCACCATATATTGGCCGCTGGTTTAGAGCATATACAGCTTCCTGGAGAACATTGCCCCAGCCCCGCAGGTTTTTGCCATCTAGTTGGCACCGTAATTATGTCTTTAGGAGCCCATTCCATCCTTCTATCAAGCCAGCAGCTTCAGGATGATGAGGAACATGATACGACCAGTGGATTCCATGGGAATGGGCCCATCGCCCCACTGCGATTTGCTGTGAAGTGAGTTCCTTGATCTGAAGCAATGCTATGGGGGATGCCATGCCGGTGGATGAGACATTCTGTAAGTCCACGAATAGTAGTTTAGGCAGAAGCATTGCGTGCAGGGAAGGCAGATCCATATGCAAAGTAGGTGTCTATTCCAGTAAGAACAAAACGCTGTCCCCTCCATGATGGAAGTGGTCCTATGCAATCAACCTGCCACCAAGTTGCTGGTTGATCTCCCCAAGGAATGGTCCCATATCTTGGACTTAATGTTGGTTTCTGCTGCTGGCAAATGGGGCACTCAGCAGTGGCAGTGGCCAAGTCAGCCTTGGTGAGTGGAAGTCCATGTTGCTGTGCCCATGCATAACCTCCATCCCTGCCACCATGTCCACTTTGTTGATGTGCTCCTTGGGCGATAACAAGAGTGGCAGAGGAAAGAGGAGGACCAGTCTCCACAGCATGTGCCATCTTATCCACTTGATTATTAAAGACCTCTTCTTCAGAGGCAATCCTTTGGTGAGCGTTCACGTGAGATACAATTACCTTTACTTTCTTGGCCCATTCAGAGATGTCTATCCACATACCTCTTCCCCACACCTCCTTGTCACCAATTTTCCAATCATGGTCCTTCCAATTCCCTGACCATCCAGCCAAGTCATTAGCCACAGCCCATGAATCAGTCTACAGTCTCACATCTGGCCATTTCCCTTATATGCAAACTGAACGGCAAGGTGCATTGCTTGAAGTTCTGCCCATTGGGAACAAAACACTGTATATCCAAAACCTTGAGTTAGAAAGATTCTAAAGTTTTGCAAGCAGGTCATTAGCATATTTTATTTAGTGTCTTGATTAGCGTATTAGGAAGACTGATCCAATTTGCTTAATTTCGTTCTTATAAAAACCATGACTATGTGATTTTACATTAAATAGGCAATTACCTTTCTTTTTATCATTTTATTTGGGGCTCATACAGCTCTTATCACAATCCATATATGCATCCATGTGTCAAGCACATTTGTACATATGTTGCCATCATCATTTTCAAAGCATTTTCTTTCTACATGAGTCCTTGGTATCAGCTCCTCATTTTTTCCCTCCCTCCCTTCCTCACTTTCCTTCCCTCATGAATCCTTGATAATTTATAAATTTTATTATTTTTTCATGTCTCACACTGACTGATCTGATGCCTCCCTCCACTCACTTTTCTGTTGTGCTTCCCCCTGGGAGGGGGTTATTTGTAGATCAATGTGATCGGTTCCCCTTTTCTACCCCTACCTTACCCTTGGACTCTTGGTATCGCTACTCTTATTATTGGTTCT